AGACATCTGTTTCTAAATATAACCACTTGAAAACACTGAGCTGCAAGACTTTCGGTCTGTAGAGGACACATGGGCCTCTTGTTAGTGATGAGAAGGAAGAGTTGCAGAAAGCTGAGCTAGTTAAAAGGGAACTGCTATTTAAAGCAAGACAATTCCCTTTGGTTTTTTCACTATATTTATTTTAACTAGTTTTGCCTTCAGTTTGTAGGTTTATATTCTGTGTGGGATGAACCCTGATGTTTAGCCACTCTGCCATAACTCTGTTGTGCCCTTTCATATCAATGGCTTCTGAGCGGCAGTAGAACATGTTGCACGTAGTGGGGGTGACAGAATGATGCTCGGGTTGCTGACTTTCTTCCAGCAACTTCTAGTCTAGCTTCAAGCTGATTCATGTCTATAATTTGTACTTCTGGATCTTATAGAGAGAATTATGTCTCAGAGAGCCATTGCTGTGAGCACAGCCTACCATCTGCCTAGCAGGACTATGTCATGGCAGTATATTAACATAGTCGGGCTGTAGTGAAAAGCAAATGATGTCATTGTTGTGTTTTACTGAAGACCTGGAGTCAAAGATCTCTCATGAAATCCAGTGGGGTGGTTGTTTTTTCCTCACATAAACAAGGAATTGTTTTTAATGAGAGCAGATCACACAGATTTCCTTGTGTGTCTTCACCATGGCTCTCATAGCGCTCAGTTATCCCCCAGCAAAGGTCTTGTTCCTGGGGTGAGGGCCTAAGGTTAATGGCTTGCAGGTGCTCAGTGTCATTTAGATTTGGCCTGCTGCTAATATCATAGATAATACATTTGCTCTCTAAACAACATTGCCTGGGTTTTTATTTATTTATTTATTTTTACTTTGCTTAATGTAGGGTGTTTTGATATTTATAGAGGTGAAACATACTGGGTATTTCTGTATTTTCGGATAACTCAGCTCCCTGTTTTTTCTCCCAGATTCCAGTCTCTGATCATACCCCAGCGGATGTGTAGTAGTATTTCCCTCCTTAGCTCTCTTTTGAAATGAAGGAGCCAGTTTCCTTGTCAAGAAACCAGGGCACTGCTCTGGAAACAGTTTGGTCTGGAGACCATCCCAGGAACTCTGAGCTGTAATACTCAGATTCCTTGGCCCATGGGCAGGGGTTGATCCTGTCTCAGATGCCTTTAGTGGGGTAGAACCACTTAACTCACCCTAGGACTAGATGTTGAGATACTAGCGACTGCCAGGCATACTGTGACCATAAGATTGCAAATTTTCTACTCTGCCAAACTACCATTATAACCCAGTTTGGTCTGCAGGTCCCTGTTCTGCTTTTCCTGTTTATTCCTACATTCATTCTGCATGCACTGTGGTGGTATATCCTCCACCTAAAGTGTGCCATCCTACACTGTTTAACTTCCAGGTCTCTCCTCAGAAGCTTCGTGCCATTGTTCAGCGCTTGCATGGGGGGTGACTGTGCTGTAAGCACACTAGGAACTAAAGAGAAATTGCCAAACTCTCCGTGCAGCCGTTTGGAGGTGTTCACTAACAACCTCCACGTACACAAACAGCTCCCGCGTATTCATGGACTGTGTGTTCAGGAATAGAGAGGTGTGGCAGAAAGACTGGGACAGGCTCCACTGCCAAAATAATCAAGAGAAGTGAATAGTTTCCAAGGTGTTTGTTCCCTAAGTTGTTTTCCCTTTTTTCTTTTTTTTTTCTTTTTTTTTTTTTTCTTTTTCCTGGCTTCATTAGAGCCAGTGATCTCCAAGAAATTAGAGTGCCTCTATTTTGAGTTAATTCCTCTTGGTGTGGGGCAACAGGGAGGTATAGGTTCTCTCCAATTTTACTACACACTGTCCTATGCAGGAAAACACAGATCATTTTCAGCACGGAATGGTGAGGTGAGGTAAGGTGAAATGCTTCACAGTAAGGTGAAATGCCGCAGAGGAGTTTATATAATATATGAAATGGAGATGGTTTTGTTTAGAGGAAAAAACACAGCTCTTGAACTCCTGCTTATTTGTAAGACATGGATCCAAGAATTACTAAAGATGACTGCCTAGAGAATGCAGATGGAGATAGGGGGATTTTTGGACCAAAGTTTTGTTTTTATTACAGACTTTAGCACTTGACACCTATTGATATTTTTAGATGGGAAGAGGTGAAGAGGCTTAGGTGTAATTAAATGTACAAAGCTGAGTAAAATTGATCCAGCTGATGCTGAACTGATGCAATACTGTAGGAAGGAGAAGTCTTGTGTTTCATGCCTGTCTCATAATAGCATCATGAGAATGAGATATAGCATTGCCACACAAACATGACTTGCCTTTTTGTCTGATTGCTTAACTTGGGCTTTGCTCATTCGTGCTCCCATGACCTTCGGCAGAGTCAAGGGAGAATCTTCATCCATGCAAGTATAAAATAAAAATACTGACATTTGATGGTAGGCTATTGGCTGAGGAAATGTGTTGGCCGTAGTAAAAACACCTAAGTAATTTGGCAGTTAATCCTTTCCCTATAATGTGGGTTGATAAATAATATGCATCTTGTTTGGCTCAAATGTCCAGAAAGCCGACTAAGGCAGCTTCAACCAGTTCCATAATATAACGCTGTCCTTCCTAGTGCAACTTTGTGGCTTAGACACAGTTTTCAGAGCAAGATGCTTTTTTCCTTTGTGATGGTGTTCAACCACTAGGTCACTTTTTTTTTTTTTTTTTTTCTCGAATGATGTTAATAGCCCATAACACCATGTGGTGGCTGATGCAAGGCAGTAATGACTACTTTTTGTGGCCTGCATTCTGAACCCATTAGATTGGTAGATTTACTGCAGCCCAGAGGTATTTTAACCTGAAAATTTCCTTACTACTTTAATTTGAGTCATATTTTGTTAGACACTTATTACTAATCTGAAATCTTGTCTGACCTGGCAAGGTCCACATTTGCTAACTAATAATTGAGGCATCATAAGTGAAGAACATATGCTGAAGTACTTGTTCTCTGGGTTTTTAATGTGCTTGCATTAGCTTTTGTATGAAGGATGTACTAAAAGCTTTGTATGTGGGGGAAATCTGGAAGGAAAATAGAGAAAATTTTTATTATTATTATTATTTAAAGAAAGAAGTGGCAGAGAGTCTGAGCTGAAGATCAGCTCACTGGAAGGTCTGCTTGGCAAGAAAGATTTGATGGTAGCCCCTGACCTTCTATAGTGTGAGAGATGAGGCAGTGTCATCCTGGAGCCTTCCATGCTCTGCAGTGAACAGCTAGAGCTTTTACTTCTCTAACCAGTATCTCGTAAATTTACTGTTTTGTTTTTAGCTGCTCTTTGGAGCTACAGCAGCACAACTTGGCCCTGAGAATTCCTGAGCGTTGCTGCTACTACGTCAGCGCAAACAAGAAACTCAGAAAGGTCACCTTGTTCACAGAATCAGAACTGAGCGTGTTTAGCTACAACTATGCCTGTAAAGAGAATCCCCATAAAGAACCCTTATTGCACAGTAATCTCTGCATTTTAAAGTTTATTTAACTTTAAATTTAAAGGTGGGCTCTTTTAAAAGCATACATTTTTGATTCTGCAGTCATTATAACCTGCCTGTTGGTCGTAGGATGTTCTGCAATTCACTCTAATACGTAATAAAAAAAAATAGTTCAGCTGTCATTAGTAGGAAAGCTCCGTTTCCTCAGTGTGCCCGAGTGCACCCTTGTATTAGGTTATGTGACTAGCAAAGAAGAGTCCCACTCTAGTGATAACAGGAAGGGGAAGGATGACATTTTTTGACAATTTAAAAATGCAGCTGTGTTAGACCATTCCTCTGGAAATGTCTCCTCTTTGCTATCTTTATTGCAGTTCTGTTGAAGCTGGCTGCTGTGGAAGTGTCACTACAGACAAGGCAGAGATTTTTCTAGCTCAGCTCCAGGGTTTCATCAGGGTGCTCTTTAATATATCTGTGCCCACAGGAATATTGCTCCTTAGTGCTGCTGTCATGTTAGGAAATGTGCGTAGACAAGGCCTAAAGGTTCCTATTTGTTTCTCTTCTGTAAGGATCTCGTTTTGTCACCTTTATTTGCCAGTGACAAGTAATAGGAGCATAAGCATCAGAAACCTCTCTTCTCTTTTCATCTACATCCAGCTAATTTTGCAAATGAGGGGAGGTAATTAAATGCTGTATCTCAGACTTCCCCTTCTTTATCTGCTTTTTGTAAAGTGCTCTGTGATGTGCAGATGAGAGATGCTGCATCCGTAAAAACTACGAGGAGGCAGCCGTGCCTTCATGCAAACGACTCTGCAAATGAGGCACATCTGCCTGGCCTTGGCGGGCTGCCCGTCAGGCCCGGGCAGCCCTCTGATATGCAAACAAACCCCTCCTGCATTTGGGGTTGAGGACGAGGCCAGTCTTTAGGCCGCTGGATATCACTTTTGACAAAGCGCTGAATCAAGGTATAGTTGTTAATTATATATTCTCATTAAAATGACAGGTATCTGCTGTGTAATATCAGATGGATGGCAGTGGTCAAAGACACTGATTACATGATGCCATGGTCCTGCAAATCCCTCCCCACTGTTAGACAGCCTGGATGTAAGGCAGGGGGAAATTGATGACAAAGCAACATTTTAAAATATCAGTGCTTTCTCTTCTAGGTGCTGGAGAAATCTTGCTTTTGCCACTCTGTAGTTAGGAAAGACCAGATAAAGTCCTCCTTTCTGCCAGCCTAGGGAAACTCCAGGTGCACTATGTGCTGTACATTGTGTTTTTTCATTTTGTAAAAAGCATAAAAGAGAATCTCTCTATATGAGGCCTGGTGTGTAAAAAGTTGAACTCCTTAATAATCCATTTTCCATGTCTTTGAAACCTGCTCTTCTACTTTTTGTCTTTCTACTTGCTATGAAAAAGAAGGGGAAAATGTAAAGTGTAAATGAATGTTCCTTTAATACTCTGAATTTTCCTCCATATCTGCATTAAAACTACTTTTTGGAGTTTTCCATGGTGTAGCACCATTCAGGGATGGTTCTTGTTTTGTCTTACAGAATATCGACATCACCAACTTCAGCAGCAGCTGGAGTGATGGACTGGCCTTCTGTGCTCTCCTGCACACGTATTTGCCTGCACATATTCCTTACCAGGAGCTCAATGGCCAGGATAAAGTAAGTTGTTATAGCTGCTCCTAAACTCACAGAGAAAGTTACCTCTTTTGTTGATTTTGTATGTGTGGTGGAGTCATGATGCTGCAAGATTTTGGTATTGATTCATGCAGAATAAATAGATGGGAGCAACAGCAAGAGACAAATGTGATTTAAGAATGTAAAAAAACAAGCTGACTGGCTGAAGAGCAGAGGGAAACTGGTGGTGGATTCCCAGAGAGAAAAGGCAGAGACTGCTGGATAAAGACTTAGTGACAAGTTGCCTGAGTCCAGTGAGTGCTGCATATAAACATGACGACAGCATCACTTTTGAAAGGCTACAACAGACACTTCCTGGTGCTCCTCATAACCTAAGAACATGACTTCTAGGGCTGGTTTCCTTCCCTTTTGACAAGTACTGAGGCAGAAAAATATTGGATGATTTAGCTTGCTCTATGTATAGATAGTCAAGGTTTTTCAGAAGGGTTTTCAATGTGTGGCAATCAATGTGTAATACAGGTGTAATGCCAAGATGATTTGTAGATCTGCCCTGTGTTGAGACTCCTTTTGAGTTATGCAGCACACATTGAAGTACTGAATCTAGGCAGATGAATCATTCATTAAACTATTTGGATAACAGTGTATCAAAAAGTCAAAGCATTTCAGCACATTCCAAATGTTGTTAAGACCCTCAAAAAGAGGGGAAGCCTGGATTTTCTTCAGCTAGCTAGTGTCCATTACAACAACAGTTATGTTATCTACAGGAATGCTTTGTGCATTAGTTAGTACCTTTTCAAGAAATCTTTTGCTCTCAGTGAAGACAAAACCTCAGTGTTTCCTTTGCTCAGTTGTATTCAGTTTCACAAGAGCCTGTTTGTCAAACCAGCGCTGAAGCTTAGGCAGGAGTAGATGAGCTATTCAAAGGCAACTTGTTTGTGAGTGTGCCTTGCTAAGACGAAAAAGCGTGGGGGAAATGTCCTAAGACAATCATACAAAAAATTATTTGAGTTTTGCAGCTTTTAAGGAAACCATTCTGAAAATAACTTTTGACAAAACATGCCTAAACCCATGCATTCTGCTTGGAGATTCATTGCTCTTAGTATTCATTGCTGTTCTTAGCTGAGACTCGGGTCTATCCTTCTTCTCTGTGTAAAGATACTGAATCTGATGCTTTTCAGGGACTTATTGATTAATCCACACACATGGTAGGATTCAGGAACATTAATCATACTTTGGTGTTAATGCTTTCAAACCTTGTTTTATTTTTACAGAAGAGAAATCTGATGTTAGCATTTCAAGCTGCTGAAAGTGTAGGCATCAAACCAAGTCTGGTGAGTAACCTACTGCTAGCAAGGAGAGAATTGCTGCATATATTCAAATCTCTTGTTATCGTGCAGCTAGTCAGTAAGATTGTATTGAAAATGTAGTGTTAGGGAAAGTGGCATCATCATCTCTGAATGTTCCAAGCAATTGGAGAACATCCCAGCAGGAAACATTTGTAGAATCATAGAATGATGTAGTGTCAAGGAACCTTTAGAGGTTATCTGGTCCTGAAATGAGAGTATGGATCATTTGATCTTATTGGAAACCTATTTTAGAAGATATTGCCTGTTCTTATGGGTAAAGTCCTATATATGACTGTCAGACCATTTTCCTTCCTTTTATTTTAGTTTTAAAAAAGCAGAAGGATAATTTTCTTGTTTAAACTCTGTTTGAAAACTCTTTGTTAAAATCTACAATATATTATCAAGGAAGAGATAAGATTAACATGAATGGAAAGGAATATTTAGGTGTCCAGAACCAAAGACACGCAAAGAAGCAGCAGTTTGAATAAAATGAAGGTAGGTATAGAGAATTAATTCTTGATTATAGATGGAAGAAATCTTTACAGGATGTAAAATGCATGTAACTGTTTAACTAGTTTGTTCTTTGTCCTGAGCCTCAAAATTGCACCAACCCAATAGATCATTCTGCTGGATTTTGATGTTGGATGTGGCTTTAATGAGCTCTGGAACTGGAGCAGTAGTAGTGTTCGATGGCCACAGATGCTCAGTGGACCCAGTGATGTTCCCAGTGGTGGTGCTTGACTAAGTCTGGGCAATGTGTCCTGTGCAGGAGCTCAGTGAGATGATGTACACGGACCGGCCGGACTGGCAGAGTGTGATGCAGTACGTCGCCCAGATTTACAAGTACTTTGAGACCTGAGATGCAGAACAAGAGATGGGCAGAAGTGGAGAGAGACTGAAGAAAGCTACAGATGCACTCAATCACTTTAAAAATCCCCTCACTCCTCTTCCACAAACATCCTAAGCTCTTAGTCTGAAAGAAAGCTCTTCCGTAATTGGGATCACATCTGGGACTACAACCAACTATGCATTGTCCACCTTTACAAACCAAATTCATCTGTAATTTTATTCCCACATGGAAACTGCAAAGCGTTTTCTACCAGCTCCAGGAGTTTTCTGAAGAGGATTGGCTGTGCTACCAATGTTTGTCTGAAACCAGCATCTGCCAACAGGAGACCTTCCACAAAATGAAGTTTTAAATCAGTGTGGACTAATGCTGGCAGTCAAGGGAAGCTGGGAGATTAACACTAATACAAAAGCCCACAAAAATGTTCTTCTTGCCAAAACATGCTTAACATCCTAAATGCTGCTTTCTTGCCTTCATACATTTTGTAGGACACTGTGACAGATGCATGTAAGTGTGTAGAACCTTAAGTTGAGTTATTCTGATACATCTACCCCAAGATGCCTACTAATTTACTTGTCATAGCTGATCCAGCAGGATAGTAACAGGTGCATTTGTCACTTGGAAACCACGCTCTGTTCCATCACTGATTAGTGACTGATCTTTAAAGACACTGCTAGGTGCTGGGACTCCATTTCAGGTCAAACAGAAATTATCTCTTTGAGAAAAATAGCTTTATTACTACAGCTTCATGAGTGAGGCTTCATTACTGCAGGAAGCCAGAACCCTGTTTCCCAGCTGACTGTGCAGGCACAGTTGTCATGCAAACTTACTAGCTTTATTTTACAAGGTGCCAGTAATCAGGTGGTGACTCTCTAAGCAATACAGTAACATCTCAGTACTTCATATTTGTGCAGACCAAGTGGAGTAACTTCTTCTGTGTCAATCCTGAATAATCACAGCGGTACGTACGTAGTTGCTGTCAATGCATGAATGCTGAGACAGTTTCTATGCTTAGAAGTGATAATATCCTGTAAAAGAACATAGTAATATATTAATACCAGTGGAAGCTGGACCTTCACTCCACAAGTTACGAAGAATTTAACTGGAACACCTCTCTGTGCCATGGAAATCTTTAAGATGCCACAGAATAGCTTTTCAGCTCAATAGTGCTGTTAGTAAAACATCTGAAAGGTACCGTTTAATTTACAGTTACACTGTGTCTCTCATTTCACCCCCTGAAGTTAACCTTTCTGTTTGTCTCCAGTGCTAGCAGGATCAAACAGGCTGCTTAATTTGTTCTAGAATCAGGTCTCAGAGAGCCTTCTTTGTGCAGCAGCTCACAGAAAGCCACCTAGGTGCTTCAGATTGTGCTGATAGAAGAAAGAAGTTGTACAGTTAGTGTGTTTAACCCTGTGACCCAGACCTGATGCTTCGTGAATGTTAATCATAGACATCTAGGGATCATTTCTCTCTTACAGAAGATAATAGTGTGTGCTCACTGCTCTTAACTCCTGAAAAGAGGCTAATGAAATAGAAACAGGTGCATTCATAGAGGAAACTTGGTGTTTTGGGGGGCCTTGCAGGTGGCTGAGCTTAGCCTCTGGCTTTCCCGAAGTGCTTTGGTTTCTTGATACTGTTTAATTAGTAAGGAGCCTATTTCAGGCATTGATGTTCTCACAACAAAATACAGGGTTAGAGGGGCAATGGCAGTGGCCAGGGTCAGAGAGGGAACAGAGCAGGAGTGCAGTGTGCGCCTGTGTCTCCAAAGGAGAAAAGCATCGTCTGCTCCGAGTCCTAGTCTGCCATTTGTTCTAACCCATCCTGCCCAGGAAAGTCTGATTCCAATCTTTGGAGAGCCCTGGCGATAAAAGGAGACAGTGGCATACACTTAACAGTGCCCCAGCACTCTTTGGTGTCATCCTATACTGTGGGAAAGTAGCTGTAAATGCTGTCCGGAGAGCTTTCCTTGCAAGAGAGTGCTTTCTAGATTAAATTAACTCTCCAGTATCTTCCAGCATACACTTCAACGTCCCTAGAGAACATAGGATGAGTTGCTTTAAATGTTCTCAGTTATAAGTCTCCATTTATGTGATGAGATGAAAGAGAAAAATAGCAGCTAAGCAGAGATCTTTTAGGAAGGGAGCCGCTGCAGGGCCCCGTTGCCTTGTGAATGCAGCGTTTTTTTTTTTTTTCCCCTTGAGGTATCTCTTGGCAGAGATCCCAAGTCTCTCCAATGGGCTGTAGTTCAAAGTCTAGTGAAGTCAACACAGAAAATTCCATATTCCTCAGTAGGCTTTGGATCAGGCACTTGGAGGGATGAAAAAAAAAAAAACTGTTTTCATTCCCAGAGTCTGGAAAACATTTCAAAGTCAGAGCGCTCCACATGGTCTGAAAAAGAAAGATAATCCTAACGCCCTGGTCACTGGAAGTGTGTGTATGTGGTCCACGTGACTGCGCAGATGTTTGCTGAGGACATGTGTTATCTAGTGTATCATTTGCTTCAAGCTCTTTTCTGACATTTATTCTAATCTATTTCTCCGAGACTTATTCAAGCCTTAAAAACAAACCATCCCACCCCTTCATCTTGGGGCTATTTTTTCCTCAAATCAATTTTCCAAAGATGTTTCTGTCATCACTTCTCAGCTTATTTACCCGGGCCCCTGATAGCATATAGCAACATAGACAACATTCAGGCCTGGATCAGGAATGATGTTTCTCATAATTTATGCTTAAAATCATTTTTAGTTATCTGAGAGTTAGACACTGTATGTCAGTAAGCGAGAATGTACCAAGTTTCACCTTTTGCTCAGTGTTACCTTTCAATCTTGAAAAGCTGTAAAACCTCTCACTTTGTAATGCTCATACTTTGTGATTAAGAAATTCTTTTTTTTCTTTTCAGATAATTTTGACTTGCTTTGAGATGAAGAATTTTGTTTGTTTAGTTAACTGTTGTAATATTGCATATTTTTTTTCTTCCTTTGGAACCTTGCACAGATGCAATTCTAGACCTAGATTTCCAGCAATGACTTGTTTTTGGATGGTGCCTAAGAATTTGAATGTCCCATACAGGATGGTGAAGACCAGCCTGGCTTTTAGAAAATACCAAATTCCTTCTTGACTGTAAGAAATCTCAAATTGGAACTGCAGAAGCCAAGTTCTCTCTGCCTTTAAAATAGAGCATTTGTTAATTAAGGTAAGGTATAGGGTATAGGGATAGCCTTCATAGAAGTTTTGAGAATCCTCTGAAAAATGTCCTGGAGTAGAATGTGTGCTGTTACGACTGTAGCAGTTTACCTGAAATGCCTAAATCATTTTTGGGCTTTGCCTCTGAAGAGATGCACATGAAATCTGTGCTGTGTCACCGTGTGCTGTTTAAACCCACCGTAACCCTTACACCTACACGCACACCCTTGTCTCTGTGCACTTGAGTAGTTTGTCGGATTACAGGAGATTCAAGGACTGATTTTGGTTGAGCACGTGAGAAGAATGGGAAGGATGGAAATTCAGTGAAGTTCAGATAGGATGTTGCATTGCCTCACTGTTATGCCATAACCGTTGGGGAGGAAGAAAGAATAAAAGTATGAAGTATAAAGTATGAAATGTGCATGATCTGACTCCCAAGATTGCTAGTGAGTCGTGGAAGGTACAAATTGTTTCGTGGCTTGGGAAGATACAGAGGGGAGAAGCGAGCCCAGCGCCTGAGCTCGCTGGGAAGGTTTCTAGTACGGCCGAGGAGCTGTTGGCAGGGCAGCGGAGCACCAGTCCAGCATGCAGAGAGAGGAGCACATGGGCCTGGGCCTGTGAGAACCAGAAGGGACCACAGGGCTCTTTAGGCTTCTACTTGACAGTCCTTACTGACATCACCCTCGAGTGACCTTTTTTCTATGAGTGCAGCCTGAGGTGGGTCTCAGAAGATGAAGGAAGAGAAGATGCAGAGCTCGATATCTTAGTCAGGTTCTCCTTCCTGTGCCTGTGATATTCAAGGAAATGCAAAGGGGGCAAATAGTTTCCCGCTTTTCCTGTACTGCAGCAAGGAAGCAGAGCTAAACAGAACAAATCAGTCCTGTGTCTTTTGTTTAGCAGACTGATTTTTGACTTATCCGGATGCTTCAGTTTCCTCTCAATGAGACACATTATCCTCTTTGAATTTCGGCAAGTTTACTTTTTGTAATTCAAAATCACTTTTGTCAAGTTTTCGCTATGCATTTTGTTGCTTTGTGTGTCCAACCAGTAGATGCAGGTTTTCTTTCCAGACCAAATAGGTAAAAGCTGGCAAAACGCTTGGTTCTTCCCTGTTTGATTTCTGACCTGGATCATTGCAAAGTCTAGCTTTTGGCTTCCTTGGCTTTCCTTTCCCACTTCCCTGGCAATGAAACTATGGGAGTGTTTGTTCATCTGATTACTGCATGTACCTCCCTTGTCTTTCTCTGCTTACGATACCAGGACTTCCATCCGGAAGTGTGCGATGGGGCCAGCTGTTCACAAAGCTGTGCCTTGCATGTCTGATAAAATGCAGAGTCTGTGTGGATGAGATTATGCATTTTCCTGTCAGAAGAGGGCTTTAGCCTAAGACGACTCAGGGCACTGAGCATTAAGATATTTTTAAACCCAGCAATAACTTCTACTTTGCTAGACTGTGTTGGTTTTTACCAACTCCAGTGCCATTTAGACTCAGCTGATGATATTGAGTAGACTCAAGCTTGAGCTTGTAACTTAACAACAATTAACGTTTTTCATAACTGATGGTCTCTACATTTTTAACTTGCAGATGTGCCGAGTTCCACTGGGCAGTGCTGGACACAGTGTTTTTATTGATTATTGGTCCAGGCTTGAATTTGTCAAATGGGGTATTCCTCTGTAACAGTCAAGTACTTTTAGCTTTCTCTATTGGATACAGATGTTACGTCGTAATCTAATTTATACAATGAGCACATTAGAATGTATATACTAGGCATTGCCAGATTTGGAGATGCTAATATTTAAAGATTAACATTATTAAAATGTATGATGCAAAAAAAAATCTGTGTAATATTTCTAATAAAACTTTTTCTGTTTCTGATGTTTGTTGCAATGTTTCAAATATCCACAGACAGAACTGATTCTTCCTCAGTCTGCTCAGGAGCAAGATTTCCAGGAGAGGTTTAGAAAGATCTTCGTGGTTCATGACTGCGGTTCTGGTAGCAAAGAAGATATCTTCTTTTCAGGAAGATATCAACTTCCATTTTTAAAGCAAGTTAGAAAATTGTGGGGATAAAGAATGCAGGAGACTTGGCA